TGATGTAGAAAGATCTTGTTCTATGAATTCAGTGTGTTTAGTGAATGCCTATTATGGGACAGGAATGATGCATGAGTTAAAGTTCCTTGTAAACTTGAAATTATGAAACTAGTTCTATTTTGCCTAGATAGAATTAAATAGAGCCTCCTTTCCTACTCAAAACTCCAAAGGAGCCTTCTGTATTTATTGGTATAATTATCCTTGTACTTAATTAATACATTAATTATTTTGCTTTCGCTGTCTAGAGTAACTTTTGCCATTTGCCATAAAGTAGGGGCAAATGCCTCCTTGACCTGGATTTGTTCCTGTTCCATGTTCCCACGTATGAGCTTCTTTGAGCACAGGGCAAGGAAAAATAGTCAGCAGCATTAAGACAGGAAACTTAATGTTTCCAAGTACATTTTTTAAGGAAAAAAAATAAATGGAAAATGGTACCAACCTCAAAAATATGAGCTTCCAACCCCTGGAATGCATTCTCTTCCAATATACAGTGTTCCACATTTTTATTTTATGATGGTACTGAAGTGATTGATTGCCATATGCTCAGAAGTCCAAGGTAAAGACAACGCATACAGCTTGCCACTTGGGAGCTGTGGTCATAGTTGAGTGCAGATTAGAGTGGCTTCTGTAGTGGTATGAGGACCAGCTGTGTACAGGCAGGGTTCTGCTCTGTGACCAGCGTATGACACTATTTTTTAAAGATTTTATTTATTTGGGCATGTAGAAATGGGGTACAGGCCAGGGGTTCAGGGGCCATGAGAGGATTCATCAGAAACACAGTGGGGAGCAGAACAGGCAGGTTGACAAGGTACATGCTTAGGGGAGCATTGGGAGAGACTAGAGAGGTCTGCTGCACCAATGGTATCAGCTCGGTGGCCAGAGATCGAACTAGTACTCAAGCGGCCACAGCTTGGTTTAGCTTCTGCAGTGCAACGCTCCAACCCGCTGCGCCACCAGGCGGGACCTGTATGCCACTATCTGAAAGGGTTTAAAGGTTTTAATCTGTCTCCCACCTCATAAAACTTCAATAGGTATTTGCTAACGTGTAGGATGGCATAAAGTTGAACCTTGGGAATTGATGTTTAACTTTCAGCAAGTCATTTGCCCTATAAAACTGGCACTCGGAGAAAGCAATGGGCTAGGACTGTGGTTCTCAAACCGGATCACTGTCCACTGAGAAATCAACTTAATGGGTTGAAATCAGGATTTAAAAAATTAAATGGAAAATTCCAAAGTATTTGGCACGCAGTAAGGATATTATTTCACGAAACTTCTGTTTTAGTTTCATGCATTTAAATATACACACATGCATACAGATGTATAATATATACCTAGTTGTGAAGCATAAAATAGATGTTTTACTATGCAGAGCAGTGAAAAAGATTTGAGACTAGGAAGGGGGAGTTGAGAGGGGGTAAAGTGATGGTGTAATAGCACTGGGGCTTTAGTGGAGGTTGGGTGCAGTATTTGTACTCCCCAAATTATGTACTTTTGTAAATGAATGGGCAAATCAATAAAATTTGATGAAAAAAATAAAAATAAATAAAAGTGCCTGAGAAATGTTGACCCAAGAGACCCCATTTGCCATTCATGCCCTTGAAAAGAACAGATGGTTTTCGATCCTCTACTATTGATTAATGTGTTTTTAAAAATAACATATACATAATATATATAAAGGGGGAAGTACCAAATATCTTTGTCTAAAAACAAAACAAAAAATTCTTATGTTTGTATTTACATGCCTTCCCACCGCTTTTTTCCTTCTGGGTTCCTGGTCTGTTAGAATGTTTTGAATTTGGTCGTATGGGGCAAGCAAGAAAGGTTCCCTGTTGTACCTGTGCCTGAGTCAGAGAAGAAACTATTTATATGCAATAAACTGTTTTTATGCATTACACTAAAAAACAGATTAACTAAAATCTAAATAAGCAAATTATTTGGAGTAAGATTTAGAGAATTGCATGTGTGCTGTGGCATACACACTCACCTTACCTGTCTTTTCAGATGTTTCACTTCCCTTTGTCTGACACACAACACTACTCAACTATTATCAAATTATCAATGACTGGGTCTTTTTTTTTTTTTTTTTGAATTAGGGTATTCAAAAGGAGTTGAAGACAAGTTTCTTCTTCTTAGAACTTCTTAGTTTCCAGGCTTCTCACCTTCATCAGCCCATTTACTTACTTAGCTTAGGCTCTGAAATAACAGCAACTTATATTTGCATGACTAATTAAGGAGCTTTCTGTTTTTCATTTCACTGTTGTAGGAAATAAAGTGTTACGATCTCCATATGTCTTTTGGAGAAACTGAGGCACAAAGCCATCACCCCCATGTCTCTGTAGCACAACTGGCAATAGCTCTGGGACCATTTGCCAGCTTCTAGGCTGGGGTTCTTTTCACTCCATCAGTGGTTTCTCTGATTGGTTTTTCCCTTTCTTCCCCGCTCCCCCCCCCCCAGAGTCCTATTTTCATTTACAAGTTAGAAAAAAAAAAAAAAAGAAAGAGAGGGAAGGAAAATTTTGCAACTGGTTGGTGACTCCCCTACTCTCTATTCTATCAGTAATTCCCCTGCGATGGCTGTCAGGCATTTCCACAGAGTAAGATTCTTAACAGACATCACAGGCTCATTCTCACTTCAGAGTCCTCTGCCAAGCACAAGCCTTTATGTATTTTTCATTAGCCTACATTCTATACTGGGCTGCAGATCTCTAGTGCTTTTTTTCCTGCTGGTCTCTGTTTCATCCAAGTCAGACTGACTCACCAGTCAGTGCTAACCCAGGGTGGCTGACTCAGTTACTGTGTACTAGCTTACTGTGTGTTTTTGGAGCTTGTATCTCTTGATCTGATTTAAACCCACAGAAAAAATCTGTGAGGCAGGTTATTCTCATGTTAGAGCTAATAGAACCCACGCTCAAAACAGATGAAAACTCAGATCCATCGACCCCAGGCTTGTGCTATTTTCTCTATATCACAGGACTTTCAATTACTTATTGAGTCTTTTATTTTTTAGCACATTGTATATTCCTCGCCAATCTCTGGTTTCTTTTATGAAGAATTCTAACATAACAAGATTAAAAAAAAATCTGTGTATTATTTGGAGAAGTGTAAGAATTTTAGTTCCAATGTAAAGTAAATCTGTGGAAGGTTGAAAATCGATAATGTCCCTTTAAGTTATATTGGAGAGTGTATTTTATTTGTGTGTTTGTTGTCTTAAGAATCCTGGGAGAAATCTTTTTTTTTTATCTTAGTTCCAATAGAATTTTTTTTAAATAAAATTGCTGGATAGTTTAAATAAAAGTTGCCCAAACTTTAGTTCATTGTAAGCACCAAGGTACTGTGTCTCCAGAAGTGGGAATTAATGCTATGTAATGATAACCACAGAGACAATGGAAATCCAATAAAATCTCCGAACATTTGCATGAAATAACAAACATAGCAAAATTTCCTTTCAGTATATATAAATTCTGTGACAAAGCGAGACAAATTAATTTTCAACTATTTGAAATTACCAAGGAGGTAGAGCCTAGAAAGCTTTTGAGGAGAAAGAGATAGTAAAGTGAATTTAATTGCATAATGTCCGTTACTAATAAAAGCATGAAAGTAAAACTATAATTGGCATGCTCTTTGGTTCCTCTTTATTCATTTTAGTGATGCAAAAGTTTTTATTTGGATTTTCATAGATTATCCTTTCTTACCTCCATCTCCTAAGCCTATTTTCTCCATGTGGTTATAAGATATTCACTAGCATAAGTGACATCCTGTCGTTAAAAGAAAGGGCAAGGGAAACTCAGCTGGCCTATTGTCTGGGTTTCAAGACGGCCCCAGCGCTACTAATCCGTATCTATCCATTCCTCCCCCTAACCTTTCCTTGTGTATATCCAGATGCAATGTTTTTGCTTAGAAGATTCTAAAATACTTGTCCTTAGGGAACGGCTATAAAAGGAAGGGCAGTGGCAGGTGTCCCGTGCTTCCCCTATTTTACTGGGAAAGGAGAGAAGAACAGAAGCTTGAGGTCAGAGGAATGGATTTACATTTTAAAGAACTGTTCAGTGCCCCTCTCGCCTCAGACCCGGAAGGCACTTTATCTGTAACCCTTTATTGGCCCAGCTCTCTTTGCAGCTATTAGTAAACTTGTCTAGTCTCCCTCTTGGACCGTAGGTTATTGGCTACAGGGAAGGAGAGGGTGTAAACGTTAGGAAAGAGTTTAAAAAGTGAAAAATACCAATTTCACTTGTCGTGCATTGCACAGTCCTATAATAATGGCAGTAAACATGAAATTCTACAATTCTAGCAGTCTAATAAATGCCTTGTTTCTATTTTCCCTTCCATTCCTGCATGCATTAAGCAACATGCAAAGTACTGCGTCCGTATTGCTTTAAATGCAGCTCTTAAACGCAAATTTGCTTCTAAAGCTTTTTCTTTTTGCTTATTCTCAATATATTTTCCCCGAGGCTGCAAAACAGTCACAACAGAGCTTTAACGCCTATCTAATTTTCTTTTCTATCAAGGACCTACATTTTTTATCAAGGACGCTATGAAATTATTTCAGTGTAAGTAGCCAACGTTTGAGTTGCCCTGGCAGAGCAGGACAAGGAGATCCGTCAAGGTTAGGCAGAAAGCTCGGCACAACAGGCTACAACCCGCGGCCCAGCGAAGGACAGCGGGGTGGAAACAACCGCCCACTCGCCTCCCCACTGAGCACCTGCCGTTTGGCGCCTTTTCTCTCCGCCCTCCCCGCGCCGGCCCAACGTTCCGAACGACGCCCGCGACCCTGCGTGCGCGCCCCTCCCGCCAGCACTTTCTCCACCACGTTCCTCTTAGGTGTACGTGAGGCAGGAAGTGACGTTGGGAGGGGGGTCAGAGAGGGCGGGGTCAGGCTATAAACCGCCGGTTGGGAGCGGCAGTCGCTGCAAAGGGTGTTTGCGGCGGCCGGTGGCGGCTTGGGTGGTAGCAGACGGAGGAGGCGCTTGTGTGAGTGACGCGCCGCTGCTAGAACCGCGCCGACCCTCTTGCCCTCCTTTCAGCTGGCGGGGCGGTCCGAGCGGTCTTCGGGCGGCCCCTGCCCGGTGCTGTCCAGCAGCCTCGAGGAACCGCGGAGGAGCGGGGAGGCTGCGGCGCCTCCGGGTAGGGCGGGCGGGGTGGAGTGGGGCCCGCGTGCCGCGGCGGTCTGGACCGCGGCGGCGCGCGAGCGGGCTGCAGGTGCAGCGGGCGGAGCCGCGGCGCGGGGAGGGCCGGTGGTTCTCTCTTCTGGCGTTCTGAGCCCTCGTGCCCGCCTCTGTCTCTGAGCGGCGAATGGCTTCTCTGGCAAAGTCTCCAAGGGCGAGATGAGGGGCATCGCGCTGGCTCTCTGCGCCCCGCCATTCTGCTTCCGGCTGTCTGGCCGCTCTGCGCTCTCGTCCTCACTGGCTTGTCCATGGAAGATGCAGGCTCTCCTGGCACAGCCCTCGGCGGCGGGCTTGGGAGCCAGGCGTCCGTGCCACGCGGGCGAGCCGCTCTGCCGCAGCGTTGGCCTGCTCTGCTGGAAGCACGTGGCTGCGCCAGGAAGTGTCCCCAGGGAATGGCTGTCGGGGTGCGTGGGTGACCTTGACCTCGTCGTGCTTCGCTCCGCTTCTGCAGGGGCCTTCCGAGATCTCCCTGCTGAAAGGGACAAAGCTGGCCTCGATTGGGTTTCTAGTGTGTCCTAGGCATTTGGATGGTTTCTAGTGTTACCTGATCTTTCTTGCTAGTTACTGCTTATTGGCTTTGAATGTGGGTTCTCAGTTTTCCCAAGGCTGCAGGTGTTCACATTTAGAAAACATTCGTATTGGTAGGTTCTCAGTAAAAGTTGGGAGACCACAGAAATTAATAAGACTTATGCTTTGTGGAAGCCTTGGACTAAAGACTATAAAAGTCACTGGAATTAGAATAGGCTTTGGCCTTCAGAAAATTGGTGAAATTATCAGAGTTGTCCTGTATTGATTAACAGGTAGAGACCCGTCTTACCATTTTCTGGTGGACAGCTCTTTAAAGTGGCAGTGAGAAGAAAGGGTAAAGAAATGTTTTGTGACTTAATTCTTTTCGATTAACACTTCTCCTCTACCCTCTGTTTGAAGCGACTGACCTTGGGTATACTAGGGGACTCTATTGCTGCTGCTTTTTTCCCACTGGGCATGTGTAAGAATTGAAGTAGGAAATAGTTGTCCTGTTACAGAAGTATTTGGATACCTGATACCTTTGTTCTCAGCTCATTTGAGTTTGGAATAGTAGGTGCTGACTTGGTTGTCTGCGCTGGGAGTTTGACCTTATTGAAAAAGACTTGTAAGATTTCCATAAGTTTTCTATTGTGAAAATTAAGTTAGGTCTTAGAGTACTTACTGGTTGATTCTGCTGGGTTTTTTTTCCCCCCTCCGTTTTGGTATATAATAAACTTAACCAAGAAATGTAGAATTAAAAAAAGAAAAGTCACTGATATGACATATTTTCCACAAGTTTTTATAGAGCATAACACCTTTAATTTTTCTTTGATGGAATGTTCTTGTTAAATAGTGGTGGTAGTGAACCTCGCCTGTGCTACAGGTTATTGGATAAAGAACAATTTGAGTAATTCTGCCCTAATTCGAGGCAGTAATTTGCCCTGATAATGTACCTATAATGGAGCAAGGTTCTCAACTAACCTGAATTATACCATGAAAGTTGAAAGTTAGTCAAGAATGATCTTCTGAGATATTTTGGAACTCTTCTCTGTGTGTGTCATCTATCTACTCTCCCAAATGATGTACCACAAGTAGATTATAATGATTTTTTTAAGTGGTCTTGACTTCCAGTCAGGCAATCGTTTTTCAGAAACCAAATGGGAATGAAGATTATTTTGATTTCCTCCACTGAACCTTTCAATTAGGCCCATAAAGTTAGACTCTGAAAGTTAGGAAACACCTTGACCATCTCTTTACAAGTCCTTCTGGGTATAGACAGGTATAAGTTTTGAGGTCTTGCAGAAGTTCTGTAATTTACATTTTGTAAATATAGTCTTTACATTTCCCTCTGCAAGTGCAATTATCTAGCCAAGTAGTTTTTGCACAATGGGTAATTGTGTAATTGTAATTGTAACTGGTAAGCCAGTTACTGGGGAAATTAAAATTCAGCCATATAAACTTAGTCTTTCTGCTTTTTAAAATCTCCTTACTACCTAAATTTTACACCATGATTAAGGATAAACCATAATATTGACAGGGATGGAAAAGATTCCAGGTCTAATGGTCTCATTCTTTTTCATGTTACTTCTGAGTCAAGTGAAAAAGTAACCTCATACATTACTTACTGTCCTGATTTCTACAACCCCCCCACCACCATTTAGCAGTATATGATATTTATAGGACACTGGTTTTGAGATATCCCAGTGTAGTTTAGAACCTCAAGATAATTAAATAGAAGTTAATATCACGTGTTAAGAAAGGCAGAATTATATGATTTCAATCTAAAACAAGTTTTGGATTGTGGTTTAGCTAGTACCATTGTGGTTGAGATAGTACCATTGCTTGCCTCCTGTCTTCCATCCTATTGCTCAAGTAAAGACATTTCAGATGGTCCATTTCATGTTGAAACATGTGGAACTTTGTTTTGCTTACCTTAATTTTCATTATTAATGTGAGAAACTGAATGTTTTATCTCAGTATCATTGAGAACACCAAAGAGACACAAGTTGCTAGTTGTGAATAAAATCAAGCTGGTGTTTGTTGCCTAATAGATTATCAACATTGGTGGTGATATCTTGAAATAAGCTAAATAAGAGTTATTTAATTTTCAGATGTGATCTTTTTGCAAGCTTAACGTTTATAGATAGAATAGTGTTCTTAAAACAGGTTTGAAAAGTTTCTCTCCTATGATACTAGAACACAAATTATAGTGATATTTCAGTGGTATGAAAATTCATTAAGGTGTTCTTTTAAATAAAAAAGCTTAAATGTGACATTATTTTAAACAACCACTCAACATTGTTAAATATGAAACACATTTTCAGCATAAAATGGGCCATCTGAAATGCCTTTAATTGAGCAATAGGATGGAAGACAGGAGGCAAGCAATGGTATTAGCTAAACTGCAGTTAAATATATAACTTTTGTTGATATCCTAGAATTTATGTGTTCTTCATGATGTGGAATTAAGAAAATGAAGTTAAAATGGAATTTGCCTCATTTAAATTTTTTTCCCCCTCTGACTTGATGGTCTTAATGCAGTGTCTGGGGATTGAAATAGAAATTGTCTACCTTAGGGACTCAAGCTCCTTATCATTTAAATCCTTTATGTAGATCACTCATATATGTGTTGTCACTTTAGTCTTAAAATTAATTAAAAACTGGGGACTTTGAGGACTGGCTGGTTCAGATGAGTATTAAACTTGTAAGCTCCTTTTTCCTAGAAAAAGATGATTAAAATTGGCTCAGGGTGGGGCCTTCTAGTTCTGGCTCTAATGATTGGGTTTGTACAGGTCTGGTGTGGCGATAGTGATAAGTTTTTTGTACCAGAAGGGCCAAAAGATTGTGCTTCTAAGAATACGATCTGTTGCTTAATGGCTCTCATCTTTGAAGCTTGGGAATTTTTAAAAAAATGGAGAGGGGGTAAGTTTAATAAATTAGAATTACCTAATGCTAGTTTATGTGACTTTTATAATCATATATCCAAGCTTGCTTTGTGCCATGTGGGTGTTATATATATGTGGGAAAGTTTATATTGTGGTAAGAAAAAGACTTGGACTTGGTAGTATGAAATGTCTGTTTTCAAGCACTCCTCTAGATGTACTCAAATCAAATTAATTAAAATCCAGATTTCAGTTCATAACTGTAAAAGAACTCAGTTATAGATCTTTATTTTGCTTTGAAAAAAAGTTTAATTTCTTAATTTCTGGAGATGAGGACACAATTTCTTTACCCAAATAACCCACTGAACTTCATTTCTAGGGTGTGAACTCTCTTGAACAAGTCATCCAACCTTTTCAGATAAATGGCCTCTTCATCTAAAATAGTATACTTGTGCTTTTCTTTTGTCTGTTCTTTTGCGTCAAAGATCTAATGAAAGGATTTGTGAACTATTCATTTCGTTGGGAGAATCAGATTTTCTCTTTTCTATTAAGTTGCTTTGATACTGGTTTTTGTAGTTTTTCTCTCCCCCGCCAGGTGGTAGTGTATTGTTTCTTATATTTGCTCTTCTTTGGTACTAAATCGAATTATTTAGATCTACTTACTGTGAATGGCATTTTAACTAATTTTCCCCACATTTTTAATTTTGAAAAATTTGAAATTACAACAGGGAAAATGGAATAATAGTATATGCATATTCATGTACCCTTTACCTAGATTCACTAATTAGGTTTTCCACATTTGCTTTACTTGTATACTCTTTTATATCAAACTATTTATTTTTTAAAGATTTTTTTATTTCTGCATACAGAACTGGGGTACAGACCAGAGGTGCAGGGGCAGTAAGAGGCTTCACCAGAGACAGAGTGGGGAGCAGAATAGGCTGACTGAAGTACACTGCTAAGGGGAGCAGCGGGCAGATCAGGAGAGGTCTGCTATGCCATGTGGGTCACCTCCAGGGCATGCTGAAGTGGCTCTAGCTTCTTAGTGCCGTGCTTTAACCCACTGCACCACCAGGGAGGGACCTAAACCAAACTATAAAAAATTAAGTCACCATACTTCGCATCTTTAAATTATTTGGCATTAATTTCCCAAGAAAAAGTCATGCTCCAAAAATACAATACCATTATCACACTACCCAGATCTAACATTGATCCAATACTATGATCCGGTATAGTCTATATTAAAATTTCTCATATATTTCAATATCTTATTTGGCTTTTCCATTGCCATTCCATCTCAATTCATGATCTAATCAAGAATTACAGAAATTTGTATTGTAAACTAAATATCTTGGTTAAAGTTCTTTTCAGGGAAGCTAGTAATATATTTGAAGTGGATTTCATATGTAATAACCTAGTAAGGTGATATAAAGCCCTTGCTATTTTGATCCAGTGGTATCTATCTCATAGTAATTCTGTATTTTTGACAGTAGGCTCTTCTGCGTGGTGACTCAGAATGATGGATCAAGCTAGATCAGCGTTCTCTAATTTGGTAAGATATTTTAGTTTTTGTATTTTTTTGTCATCAGTTAGCATGAACATGAAGTATACAACTACTAAGTTCACCCGGTAGGAATGATATCTAGCTATCCATTTGTATTTGAAGTGTGTGGTTTGGAGGCACAACTGATTTCACAAAGGAATTCAGTCTTGAGTAGGGTTAATGATGGGATTCTTGTAAAAAGTTTCAGGATACTTGGGGTTGGTGGAGGAGGACAACTAAATAGATAAGATAAATTTTAAAAAGCACTGATCAAAATGTATACCAAGAGACAGACAGACGTAACAGAAACCTGAATGGAAAGGTTAAATGAGATAAAGAAGGCCAGAATGTCATCTAGCCCTTCCCTGCTATGATGGAACTGGGCACAGGAAGGAGTATTGGCTTGAAAGGGGAATCTTCCATTTCCTCAAAAATGTATAGCAAGTCATAGTAATGATCCAATGTAATTATAGTACCTGACCAAGCTCACTGTAAATGTTCCTATTCCCTCTCTTTTTTCATAATGCTTTCTTTCTCTCTTTTTAAAATATCTCAGTTTGGTGGAGAACCATTGTCGTATACCCGGTTTAGTCTGGCTCGACAAGTAGATGGTGACAACAGTCATGTGGAGATGAAACTAGCTGTAGATGAGGAAGAAAATGTTGACAACAATGTGCGGGGTAATCGTGCCAATGTCACAAAACCAAAAAGGTTTAATGGATATCTCTGCTATGCGAGTACTGCTGTAATCATCTTTTTCTTGATTGGTAAGAATGGCCATTAAAAATTTAAATGTTCTTGTTACCTACTCTAGGTAACCTGTAAATTATTTATGCATATAAAAACTGAGGTCTAAGCCAGAGGTGCAGGGAGTGAGAAGATTCATCAGCAAACATTTGTTTGTACCTTTTTATGTGCCATTGTGGTAGGTACTTCGAATAAAATACAATTCTATTCCTGCTTTTGAGGTTAGCCTGGTGGGAAAAGTGTGACACATCAGTCATTTCAGTGTATTGTGTGAATGTTGTACTAGAAATATGTGCCAGATATTTGTAATATATAGAAAGCTCCGCATGAGGATTCAAAAAAAAAGGCTTCTGGAAAGAAAAAAATGTACCTATGTGTTGAAATAGTACCTATTTAAAGTACTGTTGTATAAGTTGTTCGTGAATGGCTTAACATAAAAAATGAGGTGCGTTTACTCAAGCTGCTTATGGTGATTTGATTAAAATGAGTTTTTGCAAGGCTTAGCTGGAAATACTGATATAACAATTCTTACAGGCATAAGATTGTAAGTGAAATTCTGAATTCAACTCTAAAACTTTTTATCTTCAGGATTTATGATTGGCTACTTGGGTTATTGTAAACGTGTAGAACCAAAACCTGAATGTGAGAAACCAACTGAAAAGGTATCTCCGGGGAAAGATGAAACAGAACCTGAAGAACCTGAAGAAATTTTTGAACCTCAAACACCTCACTTATTTTGGTCAGACCTCAAGACAATGTTGTCAGAGAAACTGAATACCTTCGACTTCACTGGCTCCATCAAGTAAGCTTGAACTGCTTTATAAGTTCAACCTTAATATCTGAACAAATACTGATTTTACTAGCTATAAGGAAACAAAACAAAGGTTACAGATTGTAAGGAAAGGCTTTTAATTGATTGATTAATAGATACAAGAACTGTAGTCTAAGCCAGAGATGCAGGGGATGAGAGGACTCACTAGAGACAGAGTGGGGAACAGCACAAGGAGATCCACTGAAACACTGCTGGGAGGGGAGCAACAGGAGGGTCAGGAGAGGTCTCTGTGCCATGTGGGTCAGCTCCATGGCCAGGGATTGAGCTCCTGCTGCAGTGACTACTGATAGCTTTATAGCATTGAGACTTTAACCCTTGCACCATGAGGGAGGCTCCAGGAAAGGATTTTTAGGGTAGGAAAACTGTCCATATTTAGTCAGAGGGTAAGAAGACAGTAAAGAATTCAAACAATATTGATAAGGGAAAAGGTTAGAACTTTTGTAGAGACTCTCCTTTTTCTTAAAAATAAAAAAAATTGCAGTGCCTAAATCTTTCTGTCATTTAGTTCTTATACCTTGTTGCTTTGCTGTCAGATTTAACTGTGCTCTGATTTTTCATCTTAGCTCCTTCTAAGTCGTTCTGAGCTCAGCTATTACCGACACAGGCATCAGTAACCATGCTCCTCTAGATTGGAACTGGCTTAGCTCCCCAAACTGATAAGTCTCTAGGGTTCCTTGATTTCTACTCATTAGCCCATACCCTAAGAAGTGTCCTTAGAGTTTTTGTTAGTAGTTTTTTAAGATCTTCCTTAGACACTTAGCTAAACCTGTGTTATAAGAAACCAATTCAGGGCCCTCCCTGGTGGTGCAAAAGGGTTAGAATGCAACACTGCAAGCCAGCCACAGCCAGTCAGTTCAAGTTCGATCCCCTAGCCATGGAGGTGACCCACATGGCACGGCAGACCTCACCTGACCCACCCACTGTTCCCCTCAGCAGTGTACTTCATCAGTTGGTGGCCTGTTCTGCTCCTCACGTCTCTGGTGATCCTCTCACCGCCCCTGCACCTCTGGCCTGTACCCCAGTTCTGTATACATAAATAAATATATCCTTTTTTTTTTTGAAGATTTATTTATTTGTGCATACAGAACTAGGGTACAGGCCAGAGGCTCAGGGACAGTGAGGATTCACCAGAGACAGAGTGGGGAGCAGAACAGGCAGATCAATGAAGTACACTGCTGAGGGGAGCAGTGGGCGGGTCAGGAGAGGTCTGCCACGCCGTGTGGTCACTCTGGGGCAGGCGGGAATCGAACTCATGCAGAAGTGGCTTTAGCTTCTCAGTGCTGTGTTTTAACCCGCTGCACCACCAGGGAGGGCCAATAAATATATCTTTTTTTAAAAAAAGTAACAAACTTATCTTTTAACTTTTGCTAACCTTCCTACAATAACTTTTAGTCTTTGGTACAATAACTTTTAGTCTTAAGTTAGAATTCTTGGCATTTTCATGTCATCTAGTGAATACTTTTGTATAAATTGTACAACAAACCTTATGGACATAGTGATAGACTAGTAACATCCCCCCCACAATCAAATAGTTAATATAATATAAATATTTACAAACATCCAGGAACCATGGAAAATCAGAAAAAGGAGAAGTTTTGCTTCCAGTAGATTCAGAATGCTTTCAAAGTAGAAGAGTATTAAAGCTGTAAATCTTGAGTTCACCCACAGTAATACTACATTTCATTTTGCTTAGAACATACTTCCCGGAAACTACTTGTTTATTTTAAAACTATACTGAGCAGATATATGGTATTGGGATAGGACTCTTGAAAGAGTGCTTTATAGTATAAATAAGAAAATTTGAAGTCATAAATTTCTTCAGAAATTAGATGCAGTTTTGTTTTATTCTAAGTTTGTCTGTATGTGGTCAGTCTGGAAGTTTTGGATCACAGTTTACCTTAATTCTGAGGGGCAATGTTGAGCAATGCTTTAAAAACAATTTGGGTGATATTTGAATTCAGAATTAATTTTAAATTAAACTTTCATACATTTAACAGTGACTTTTTTCTCCAGGTGGCTGAATGAAAATTTATATATTCCTCGTGAGGCTGGATCTCAAAAAGATGAAACTCTTGGTTTTATCATTGAAAATAAATTCCGTGAACTGAAACTCAGTAAAATCTGGCATGATGAACATTTTGTTAAGATTCAAGTGAAAGGCAGGTATGTCAAGAGATGGTAAACTTATTTTAAAATCAATTATCTTTTTCTGACTGGTGACCTTAGTCTCATTTTAACTTAATCTTTTTTCACAGTTCTCAAAACTCAGTGACTGTAGTGAGTACAAACAATAACTCACCATACCTAGTGGACAATTCTGAGGGTTATGTGTCATATAGTAAGGCGACGACCGTTACTGTAAGTAAGACAAGCAGTGCATGAGACTTCTTTCCCTGTTGAATAGCTCAAAAACCTATTCTTTATTGTTCTTAGGAGTTATTAGCTTACTTGTTAAATGCAACTGATCATGAAATATTTTCATTCTCAACCTTCTGGTTAAAGTAAAATCTAATTCTTCATCCTGGTCAAGACCCTAAATAATTCTACTGATCTTCTGTTTTACTGGCCACTCTGGCCTCCCTGCTATTCCTCAAAAACTTGAAGCATATGTTTACCTTAAGCCATTATAAAAGTTGTCTTATGTGCTTTCCTCTAATCACTTTCACTACTTTCTTTTTCTTCATAGTGCACATAGCACCTGACAAAAGATAAACATAAACTACTCTAAGGGTTCCATAAACTGCTATGTCACAGAGCCTTGGACAGTGACTGACACATAGAAGTGTTTACTTAATGAATGCATGTATCAGATTTCCCCTGGTGTGGGAACCAGATATACATAAATAACCAACTCCTATTTGGAGTCTAATCTTTGATTCCTTATTGTTTTATCTTACTATCTATCTTTTACCTATAGGCAACTATGGCCATACTACCATAGACATTTTAAAAAGCCATACAACTGAGATGAAAAAATGCACAAAATGAAGAATTATGTAAAAAAATAAGTAAAATAAGTATTTTTAAAAAAATTTAAAAAGCCAGCTAGTCAGAATTCCTTTTAAGTTTTTTAACATGAAAACTAAAGATATCTGGTGTGTGTGTGTGTGTATACACACCTTATATATAACATGTATAACATGAAATAGGTATCTCATGCATAACATGTCATATGAGGGATAGTTCATGTATAATATATATACATATAAGATATTTCAGCAGTCTACCTAATGGATGCCTTCCAAGCCAGATGATGTTTTATGGTTATTCTTATTTTCCTGGCATCTGTGTTATATCACTTTACCTGCCTACCTATGGGCCAGGAGTTCGGAGGTAGTAGGTAGTTTTTTGTTAAAGAACACTCAAGGGTTTCATTTGCCTGCAGCTTCACTCCTGATAACCATGAACAGTTTAAACTTTAGAACTCTAGGATAGCCTTTCTTAGGACGTGGACTCTTTTTGCCCTTTTTGGTTTTCTCTCTTGGGTGTGATCTATAAAACCATTATGTCACAGATTCTATCACTGTTTTAAGACCTAATACTCATTAAATCTAATGCCTTTATTCTAGGGAAAACTAGTTCATGCTAATTTTGGTACTAAAGAAGACTTTGAGGATTTAGACTCTACTGTGAATGGATCTTTAGTGATTGTAAGAGCAGGGAAAATCACTTTTGCTGAAAAGGTAAGTATGAGTTATCAAATACATAGTTATCAAATCATTCAGTTAAATGGTGTTGTTATTGTCTTACATTCAGCAGTCTTAAACTCTGACACCTGATACACTTCTGTTTATTACAGTAAATCCAAATAAGTTCCAGTTATCTAAAGTTATAGAGTACTTCAAAGCTATGGCATTTTCACTTAGAGAATTTTGCAGCTGTTGTGTTTCAATAAAAGTAAAGGAACTCTCCTGCACTTCTGGTTGGAATGCAAACTAGTACAACCACTATGGAAAACTGTTTGAAGGTTCCTCAAACTGCTAAACATGGAGTTTCCATATGACCCAGCAATCCCACTCTTAGGTATCTACCCAAAAGACACAAAAACACTGATTCAAAAAGATACCTGCACCCCCATGTTTATTGCTGCTTTATTTACAATTGGAAAGACATGGAAACAACCCAAATGCCCAAAAGTGGATGACTGGATTAAAAAGATGTGATACATATACACAATGGAATATTACTCAGCAGCCAAATAAATAAATAAATGGAATATTACTCAGCAGCCAAATAAATAAATAAACAAACAAACACATGTCTTTTGCAACAACATAGATGGAGCTGGGAAAGATCATGCTTAGTGAAATAAGCCAGAAAGAAAAGGAAAAATACCAGATGGTCTCACTCATAGCAGGAGTATAACTGACCAGGCGAGAAAATAACAGCAGTAATGAACAGCTATATACCAGAGACATTTACCAGAGACATTTTATGGGGTGGAGTGGGGAATGGGATCAAAAACAGTGGAGGGAGGGAAGTGCACAGGACTATGGTGATGGCACATGGGTGATTTGGTGATGGAAAGCCCAACTGAGATGGAAAAAGGCACAAAATGATGTAAAAATAAATTATTATATATTTTTTTAAAAAATGAAGTAACCAGAAATGCCTAAGTGAAAGCAGTTTAAATGTGTCTGTGTGACTGAGTTTTATAGAGAGAGAGTTCAGTTGTAACTGTTTTATAAAAATTAAATCAAACCTACATAAGGGACTAGACTGTAACATCAAAAAATGGGTTGTTTTGGGTGGATTTTTACTATTCCTCTTACCTTTTAAATCCTTCTTAATGAGTGTTAAGGCAAAAGTTTTTCATAAGTATATAAGCTATTTGTAATATTTGGGAATATTGGTATAGTCTTTTGTAACTTTTGTCTTTCAGCATAAAGTCCATGATATATTCTAAATTTTGTGTGATTGGATCTTAATTTTTTGAGCTTTCCATGTTTTTCCTTAGGTTGCAAATGCTGAACGTTACAATGCAGCTGGTGTCTTGATATACATGGATCGGGCTCAGTTTCCCATTGTTGAGGCAGACGTTGCATTCTTTGGACATGTGAGTTCTTATTTCTTATGTAAATGAGTTTTTCAGTTTTCAAAAATATTTCTGGGTTCCATCCATATTAGTAGAAATAGAACTGTGTCTTCCTTAAATACTCTTTTTTTCCTAAGAGTTTTTCTGAGGTAGTGAGTGAAAAGATGGATTACATGACTTTGAGATGTAATTACTGCTGCTAAAAGTATTTTATTAGTAGAGTTTTGAATTCGGAATTTGGCATAGGCCATATAAAACAAGAGTCATAAATGGTAGAGCCACTCAGGCTTCCACTCAGGTGTTAAGGTGCTAAACTATAAATTAAGCTGTGGCCTCATACTGAACCTGAATTTTATAAGAAACTTCTTTAAGTGCCCATAGAACTAATGATGCTTTTGTTCCACTAGGCTCATCTGGGAACAGGCGACCCTTATACACCTGGATTTCCATCTTTCAATCACACTCAGTTTCCACCATCTCAGTCATCGGGACTGCCTAATATACCTGTCCAAACAATTTCCAGAGCCAGTGCAGAACAACTCTTTCAGTAAGTTATTATTGAAAGCTATTGTGAAGGGTGAGGTTTATTGAATAGGACAGAATAATCTGTTTAAGTTGATTTCATAAAATCTTAAATCAGTTGGCTATAATTTCCCACATTTGGAACATTTTGGAGACACATATCTGTTAATATAGATAATAAAAAAGAAAATTTTCTTCCATAACATGATCTCAACAGTAGACTAGAGTTTATAAACTCAAAGATTCTTAATTCAAAGTTTCTGCTTAAGTACATCTTGTTGCTGGTGGCAGCCTATTCAGTTATTGGGGAAGATCTGTTTGAATTCATGTTAAGTCTTATTAACACCCTATTAACATCATTTTTGCAACATTACTGTTTTAAGTTTTTTTGTCAATAGGGTGAGTATCCTTGATTTTCATGATCCTTTTTAGTCATCATTAGTCCTTTCTGATATCCTCTCTAGTGTATAAATATCCCTCTTTAAAAATAGGTCCCAGTCTGATTAGAGTACATGTCATTAATTTTTATCTTGATATGCTATGATTTTTTTTCTTCATAATATAATAGTTTATTTTTACATCATTTTGTACTTTTTTTTTTTTCATCTCAATTGTAATCCCCGTGGGTTTCCCATCACCGAGTCACCCATGTGCCATCACCATAGTCCTGTGCACTTCCCTCCCCCCCCACCCTGTTTTTTATCCCATTCCCCCCTCCATCCCCACAAAATGTCTCTGGCATATAGCTTTCATTATTCTTACTATTTTCTCGCCTGGTCCATTATACTCCTGCTATGAGCGGAACCATCCGGTATTTTTCTTTTTCTTTCTGGCTATCTCACTAAGCATGATCTTTCCCAGCTCCATCCAAGTTGCTGCAAAAGACATGTGTTTCTTTTTTTTGGTTGTTGAGTAATATTCTATTGCATATGTGTACCACATCTTTTTTTTTTTTTTTTTTAAAGATTTATTTATTTGTACATACAGAACTGGGGTACAGGCCAGAGACTCAGGGGCAGTGAGACAGAGTGGGGAGCAGAACAGGCAGATCAACGAAGTACACTGCTGAGGGGAGCAGCCGGTGGGCCAGGAGAGGTCTGCCACGCCATGTGGTCTCCTCCGAGGCAGGCGGGAATCGAACTCATGCGGAAGTGGCTTTAGCTTCTCAGTGCAGTGCTTTAACCCGCTGCGCCACCAGGGAGGGCCTGTACCACATCTTTTTAATCCAGTCATCTACTTTTGGGCATTTGGGCTGCTTCCATGTTTTTCCAATTGTAAAATAAAGCAGCAGTAAACATGGGGGTGCAGGTATCTTTTTGAATTGGTGTTTTTGTGTCTTTTGGGTAGATACCTAGGAGTGGGATTGCTGGGTCGTAGGGAAGTTCCACGTTAAGCAGTTTGAGGAACCTCCAAACAGTTTTCCATAGTTGTTGTACTAGTTTGCATTCCCACCAGGATATGCTGTGATTTTTAACTTTTGTCTTTATCTTGATTTATTTTCTACATGGTATTGGCATACCATGGAGATCTAATTTTAGGCACTTAAGTGAGCACCAATTTGCTTTTTGGTGTGGAATAAGTTACTCTAAACCCATTGATCATGTCTCATAGACTTCACTAGATAACTACATTATATTCCACTTAACAGGGGGATTGAAATCTCATATGAAGACCGTATAATGTGACTATTTTAATGCTATCAAAGGCACTTGTAATAGGTGATTTTTATTGACTTACAAAACTTAGAACTAGCTAATTCAGCCCTCTACCTATAAATCTACTAACCTATGAAACTGACCTTAAATCTTATCCTTGTGTAGTAGGGGTAATAATGTTTTGACATACTTATGTCAATAAATCTTGAGATCAGTTGTTACTTGGATATCACATAAAGGTATTAGATATGGGAGAATACCTCCCAGCGTCATGAGAATATTCTCTCATTACTTAAATAAGTATGTATACTACCTTAGTGGAGAGTGATAGTCAACATAAGAATATAAGCTAGTAGACTTTTTATATAAGAATTTTAATCTTAGTCCATCTTAGTATATATTTCAAATGGAAATTATACTTGTCTCTGGCATAAAGGCACACATGAGATGAGAAGGGGTAGAGAATTTTTTTAAATCTCTGGTTTTTGTTTGTTTTTTTAAGATTTGTTTACGTATAGAAGAACTGGGGTGTAGGCCAGAGGTGTAGAGGGTGAGAGGATTCACCAGAAACAGAGTGGGTAGCAGAACAGGGAGATCAACTGAAATACACTGCTAAGGGGAGCAGCAGGTGAGACAGGAGAGGTCTGCACCATGTGGGTTAGCTCCCTGGCTGGGAATCAAACTCAGGCTTCAGTGATGAAAGCATGATAGTACTGAGACTTAATCCCCTATGCCACCAGGGACGCCCATAGGAAAAAATAATTAAATGTTAGTTAAACTAGGAGATAACGCACAGTTCTCAAATGATTGCCCAAAGGGAGTAAGTTGTATATTCGCTTTCTAGCCCTTTTACCTAGAGCTTTACTGTTCAGGATGGTGGACTGATTTAATGAAACTGAAAAACAACAGTAACTCTATTTCTGCTTCTAGAAATATGGAAGGAGAATGTCCGTCTACTTGGAAAACGGACCGTTCATGTAGGCGACAGTCTGTACAAAGTAAGGAGGTGAAGCTCACTGTGAACAATGAGCTAAAAGAAGTAAGAATTTTGAACATCTTTGGAGTTATTAAAGGCTTTGAAGAACCAGGTGAAGATTTGTTTGTTTTTTCCTGTTTTCCTTAAGTTGTGACCAGAGGAGGAGGGAACATAAGAAGGCAGGCTGTGCTTGGTTTCATGAATTGGTAAATACTCTCTGTCATAAAGTTACTTATTTAGTTGTCAAATTTATTGGGAGGTAATAAGGCACTAGGAAATAAACTTGTCAAAAACTGACCGTTATTACTACAAAATATGTTTTTAATTATTGAATGAACCAGTGATAAGCAAATTTCTTCTTGAGGAGCAGACAATAGGTTTATATAGAGTTTTAGGTTCTATAGAGTTGCATCTATTCTGCTCTGCTGTTACAGTATGAAAACAGCCATAGACAATATGTAATGAATGGGTGACAAGCTCTCTAGTAAAAGCATTTAAACAGACATACCATTTAGTAAGGAAAAGCTTTTAGTAAGCTTGCCTACAAGCTATTAGTGAGCACGAATAAATAAGAGTGTAAATTTAATTGGTAATAGAGGAAAAGGGTGGCAATTCTGTTAGCATAAAATTAAAATTAGTATCATCATGTGAATTTTGTCTGGAGTCCTAGGTCACATCTGAATTCTCTAATCTCTAGTACTTGTGCTACATTTTAACTCTTATGCTGTGCTTTTTCTAGGCTTTAGTATTACAAAACAATCTGAAAACTAATTGAATGTTATCTTTTTTTTTTTTTTTTTTTTAAATTAAGATCGCTATATTGTAGTAGGGGCCCAGCGGGACACGTGGGGTCCTGGAGCTGCAAAGTCCAGTGTAGGAACAGCTCTTTTATTGGGACTTGCTACTGTATTCTCGGATATGGTCTTAAAAGGTATGGTACAAATTTTGAATCTTGAACATCTGTGTGCTACATAATAGTTCTAAATGTTACAATATGTTTTGTTCAGTTTTGCCTATATTCTTTTGGTTGACTCATGCTAGACCCTGAGCTCTTAAAGAGCTCAAAGCAGATTGTTTTTCGTAGTATCTGCATTTGACAGTGAAACAACTTTCTATGTACTGTTGTCATTTTACTGGGAATCGTCAATTTCTTTGTGACATTGGAGTAAAGTGTTGGGCCCTAAGTCTTCCTTTGAGGCATCCAAAATGAAATTACAAATCTGTGTGGTCTCCACACAGTCTATTTGCAAACAAGCGGTGGCATGTCTGTGTACTATTATTTTATAGGTTTGTTATAAAATTGTAACTGATAAATTTTATTAATGTATTTATAAATAGAGTATGTCTACATATTCTGTGTATAAATATAAGTTTTTATTCATTTAAATATTAATATATGTGAAAGCTCTCACCCCTTCGATGGTACTTTCTCTCCACCCACTTTTAGACAAATGCAAATCCCCATCACGTTCTTATTTGAAAATATTTTAATTCAGAAAAACACATAATGGTGAGGGGAGTGAATGGTGAAGGGCAGTGACACATACATCCCTAAAATGTCACTAATTTCTCTGAAAATTTTTTTATATCTCTTAAATTTGTGAATTTTTATTTCATGACAACTGCCTTTTTTGTTGCTCTTTTTTACTAATTTTTTTTCTTATATTGTTATCACCCCCCACAGTTCTCCCACCAATATATCAGTTATTTATTCCCTTGTGTTCATCCCTCCCCTGTCTTTTGCCCTCTCCTGCCTCTGCTGTGTGCGTCAGTCCTAGGATTGCTTGCTAGTTTTGTCTTTTTCTTGATCTTTTGTTTGATTTCTCTCTATTCCACATATAAGTGAGACTGTCTGGTATTTATATTTTTCCTTCATACTGATTTTGGCTAGCATAATTCCTTACAGCTTCATCCATGTTGTCACAAATGGCATGATTTTGTCTTTATTGATTGCTGAATAATATTCCATTGTATAACTATAGTACAACTTTTTGATCTACTCATCTATGTTGGGGCATTTGGGCTGTGTCTATATTGTGGCTATTGTAAATAGTGCAACATGCATAGGAGTGCAGGTTTCCTTTCAAATTAGTGTTTGGTGTCCTTGGGGTCAATTCCTAGCAGTGGAATCACTAGATCATATGGTAGATGGCATTTTTAGTGTTCAGAGGAACCTCCACAGGTCTCCATAGTGGCTAAACCAATTTATATTCCACCAGCAGTGTAAGAGCAGTGTATCCTCTCCAGCATTTGTTTCCCTTTTTTTTTTTTTTTTTTAATGTGGGCCTTTCTTACTGGAGTGAAGTGGTATCTCATTGTGGTTTTGATTTGCGTTTCCCTGGTAATGCATGTGATGGCTGACCTTTTTTTTATATACCTGTTGGCCATTTGCATCTCTTCTTTGGAAAAGTGCCTTCTCAGTTCTTTTGCCCATTTTTTCACTGGGCTATTTGCTTTTTTTGTTTTTTGAGTTTTGTAAGTTCTTTGTAGATCTTCAATATCAGTCTCATCTGTCATATGGTGTGTAAATGTTTTCTATTCAGTAAAGTGTTGCTTTGTTTTGATTATTGTCTCTTTTGTTGTACAGAAGTTTATTATTTTGATGTAGTCCCAGCTGGTTATCTTCTTTGTTTTCCTTGCTTCTGGAGAAGAAATCCTCAAAGGTGTTTCTGAAGTTTGTCATGACAATTGTTTTTAAAATAACCCAGCATTTTAAAGTGACTTACCTCTAAGCAACATGTTTTCAAAGAAGATACATATTATATTTACCTTGAGATTTCAAGCATCTCTTGATTTAGAAGTAAGGGAACTCAGAGTTATAAAGGAGTGACTACCAATAATCTGGCTCCAGCTATGTGTTTGAAATATCACTATTGATTTTCTATTATGTTCTTTGTAGATTGGTTTAAAAATTGTTCCAGTTCTTTTTTTGTTTTATGGGGGAGGTATTTCACCTGGGGCCCCCAAAAGAAAAGTAGTTACGAACTTGCTGTCCTGAATTAGATATTTCTGATTTCATCTTGCCACTTACAATCTTTCTAAGATAAAACTTTTTGTTGTTCTTAGGTGGATTTAAACCCAGCAGAAGTATTGTTTTTGCCAGTTGGAGTGCTGGAGAATTTGGAGCAATTGGTGCCACTGAATGGCTAGAGGTAGTAATCTAAATATCATCTGTACTGAGAATGGGCACCTGAACTGTACTAGCTTAAGCTCTCCTCCAGAAACCATGCATTTTTAGGTTTGATTATATCATTCTTGCTTTTGGATATTTAGTCTAAATAGAACCCAAGTTTAAAAAGAAATCCTGGGGTCTTCCTGGTGGTGCAGGGGGTCGTCTCAGCACTATGAAGCTATGAGCAGCCACTGCAGCCTGAGTTCTATCTCCTGCCAAAGAGGTGACTCACATATTGTAGCAGACCTCTTCTGTTCAGCCTGCTGCTCCCCTCAGCAGTGTATTTTGGTCAATCTGCCTGATCTGTTCCCCACTCTCTTTCTGGTGAATCCTCTTACTCCCTGCACCTCTGGCTTATACCCCAGTTCTTATATGCATAAATAAATAAATCTTAAAAAGGAAAAATCCCTAATAATACCTGCTTAATGTTATAATTAGATTAATACATGCTAGCATTTTCTTCCTTTTCTAGGGATACCTTTCTTCCTTGCATTTAAAGACTTTCACCTACATTAATCTGGATAAAGCTGTTCTTGGTAAGTATCCCTTTCATTCACTGTTTAGGAATTCAGGCAGACTACACATAAAACAGCAGAAGAAAGCTTTTTAAAGCAGCACATACTATTTTTTGTAATTTCTACTTGCCACAATCAGATGAAAATAATTGACTTTTTAAAATAGTTCATTATTTTACAGGTTGCCTTGTTAGAGCAGTATTTAATGTGGTCCCCAGAGAAGCAGCATCAGAATACCCTAGGAAGTTTTAGAGGTGTAAAATTTTAGACCTTGCATATACAATGAAACTTCAGGACATTTAAGTCAGAAGTGGAAACATTTCTAGCACAGAGTTTTAATAAGTGCTCTGGGTGATTTTGATGTGCCAAAGTTTGAGAACTACTAGTCAGCATGTATTTTAGACCAGAAGGAACTAAACCATTCTGTACAGAGTGGTACTTCTAGAAACTAATTCATGTCATGTTAAAACGGTGGCATCTTATGTGGAAAATACCAGATAGACTTCTGAGAGACTTCCAATGTTAATAGATGTGCTAAAGCAGCCAGTGGATGACTGAAAATAATGAAATGTCTACATTGGAAATAAAAAGGAAGACGTTACAATTAAAGTAAATGTTTTATTAAATTGATCATCATTTCCATTTTACCTAGGCAGCAGAATTTAAATACAGCTTATTATCTATATAGCTAACAGATTGCTGCCCAAATATAGGTAAACCAAAAAGACAACCAAAAAATTACAAATCTTAAAGTATGCAAATTCAAGAAATAAGAATGTCAGTTGGTTCAAATTAAGGTTGGCAGTGATTGAGGAATTTGACTTATACATCACTTTCGTCTCCTTGATTAAGAGGACAGTTGTTGTGTGTGCCATCTATCTACGTTATTTTCTTATGCTTACCAGAAACTTTTAGATGTAGAAGTAGCATTGTGAAAACTATTTGACTAGAAAAGAGGCAATGTTAAAATAATGTCTTTGCAGGTACCAAGAACTTCAAGGTTCAAGCCAGCCCATTGTTGTATTCTCTTATTGAGAAAACGATGCAAGATGTGAGTGTATACCTAATTACAGACGTGTATAACTATTTTGTTTGATTTTCATAAGATGAGAAACATTAATATTTAAGCCATTATAAGTAACCAAAAAACAGAGTAAGTTCTATAGCAGCATTATTTAAGTCATGTTTTGGCTTAGTTAACCCTAGCTTATTGAACCATGTAAAGTAGTGGAGGTGCCATGTAAAGGACTTTGACCTCAAAGAATATATAGTCTATTTAGGAATATATAGTAAAATTGCATGAGGCCTAAGCTGTACTTAGGTGCCCATAGGGGATTTTGTATGGAGCTGGACTATTAAGGAAGGTTTAAATGGACTTGAGCTATACCTAAGACTTAAATTAGAAGGCCAGATGAATTATGTATTGAATAAAGACAGACATGTGAATAAACATAATTTTAATGAGGGAGGAATAAGATTTGCCTAATGGGGTTAGAGTTATATATTGGAGTGATTAAAGTTAGAGGAGGGTCAGAGAATTTGACTTTGATCACATGGGAAACTAGGGATTACTGTAGGGTCTCAAACAAGATTATAAAATGTGTTAGAAAGAAAAAACCAGAAACAAGATAGGCATATCATGAGGGCTAGAGAGGACTTTTAAAATTGCAGTAAAGCCCCTTTAAAATATTAGTAAAGAAGGAGTGTTTTCCCTCATAACTAGAGGAACAAACAGCACTCGTCTTGTAAGATTAACTTAAGAAATTTGAGATTATTGGAAATATAAAGAGAAACATTTTAGAGACTAGTTTTAATAACTTATGTTCTGTAAGATTAGCTTTAATGATAAATTAATTTTTTATTTTATAGGTGAAAAATCCAGCTACTGGCATGTCTTTATATCAGGATAGCAACTGGATCAGCAAAGTGTAAGTTGAAAAAAGTGAATCAACAAGTTAATTGAAAAGCACAATCACAGTAACACCTACTGTGTTAGTAGAAATCTAAACCTAAGTTTACAGTAAGCAAGGTTCTATACCTTGAGAATTTCAGTTTAAAAATTTATTTGGGGTCAGTTCAGGCAGATGGGATAGAGGGAGGAGGGTTGCATGGGCATGGTTTTTTTCTTCAGAAAAAATGTAAAAAATATGCTTTTCTTTTCCTTGCAGTGAGAAATTGTCTATTGATAATGCTGCTTTCCCTTTCCTTGCATATTCTGGAATCCCAGCAGTTTCTTTCTGTTTTTGTGAGGTAAGTCTGAAAAACTATAATGCATCACATCTTATGTCTCTTTCATCATACTTGATAATAAACTTCCTATAATAAACTTATAATTTTTGTAGGCTCCTTTATTATCATTCTTAATGTGGAATTATCTCATCTTAATTAGCACTTGAATTTATTTAAGACTTCTTTAAGTATGATAAGTTTTAATGGGCTACCTATTAGACAGTGCAATTATAGAATATTTCCATCAAATAAAGTCTGTTGGACAGGCTATTCTTGATATTTGTTGAGATACAGTTCCAGATGTTACTCTCTTAAATAGGCATCATGGGTAAAAGCACAAAAACCAGATCTTTTAATTCACCAAGTTATAGAAAAATAACGTTGGCTTAGTTGGCTTAGTTTAAGAGTCAGAAGAACCTGTAGCCAGGCAGAGTAAACACAATGACGAATGTTTCTGTGCCTAATGGTAAGCTTGGAAAACCAACTTTCTAGTGAACTAAAGGGTTGAAGAGAGTCTAGAGTAGTACAGGAAGTCAAGGTAGAAGCTTGCTTTTGACATGAAATTATTGAAGGCTAGGTCCTCACTAGACTTATCACTGGGGATTTCAGCCTGGGACTAGAAGGGAAAATTCTGGGGCACAGGAATGATGAAAATTATAATTAGGAGATTAACATAACTGGAATTTCTTTTACCTTTTGCTACTGCAGTGTAGTGTAAATTGTATGGGAATAACTCCTCATGATATAACACATAGGAGGAATTGCGTGTTAGGACCTATGATTGTGATGATTTCTGCTGATCTTCAGAAGGCTTGTATTTTTAAAATTTCAGATGAGGTTTAATGTCAGTCTAGCAGTATTCAGAGGTACAGTAATACAGAAATGTATAGTCTGAAAATTAAGAATTGTCAATATTGTCATGAAGGACAATGGTAGGGAATAGAGTTGAAGACATTTTCTAAGGTTGTCTAATGAATGTAAGAAGATCTTGGGATCATCAAACATTTTGGTTATGAAGGTAACGTGTCACTGGATTGAGTGATAAGGAAGAGGGAAAATTTAGTATACTAGTAATAACACTTTAAATTGAAAGTACATTTTGTGAAATGCATGCTTTTCTCTTTCATTACTGTGGACTAAAATCCCAGAGAGGAAAACCAAGATATAACCTCAGAGAATTTGGCTGATTATCTGTCATGAGTAAATGATATGATAGAACAGGGACTCATCAACCTTAGTAGTAGAAAGGAGAAAATAGGCTAGGTTCAGAGGTAGTAATAAAAGTAGTTATCTTCTTAATATAGTTTATATGAAATAAATTGTGGTAGGACTATGTTAGAAGCAAGAGAAAAGTTTCAGTTACTATTATCTTGATGTTGAAACAGAATTGCAAGGTTTCCGCTCTTATAAATACTCGCTCTTATAAATTTTCTGTTTTCCAGGACACAGATTATCCTTTATTGGGTACTAATTTGGATAACTATCAGAAGCTGACTAACCAAATTCCTCAGTTAAACAAAATGACACGTGCTGCAGCAGAAGTGGCTGGCCAGCTCATGATTAAACTTACCCATGATGTTGAATTGAACCTGAACTATGAGATGTATAATGATGAAATACTTGCATTTGTAAAGGAGATAAACCAATTCAGATCAGACATAAAGGTATGAGTATAATTAAAATCAGGTTCTTACTGTTAAAATATCAGGCAGTTTGAAGAATATTTGGATGTCTCTGGGAATGATGTGTTTGGTAGCCAAAGTACTTTTTAAAATGAATAGAAGTATAATTTGCTTAGAATCTGTAAATTCATTTGAAAGAGAATTTGGGAGTCTGGGAAAGCATACACCAAATTTTTCAGAATATGAAACTGTGCTTTCTGTTGATAAAATCCCAGATAACCCCAAATGAAGTATGTCTCAGAGAAAATAAAAGATCTTAACCATGACTTTGAACTGGGAGGTGATGTGAATGGAGAGAGAATATAGCCAGTAGTTACAATCTTATACAGTGTTGACCCTGTATCTAGTATTCAAATGTTTGAAAAATAAAGTTAATATTAAGTGGTTTCCATTTGATTTTACATTATTAGAAGTCATGTTATCAGATTGTGTAAATGAAGTAAGTCACGAAAAATAACTGAACCTTAATTGTGACTTTCTTAAAAGTGAAACTAATTATAACTGATCAGAAAATGGAACATACCACATAGAAATAACTAGATTCTAAAGTTCATTGAACCAGAGGTTTTGAGTTGTCATCCATAGGAGAATCAAACTGGAAACAATATATTAGACTTGGTTGTATGCTTTTACTAAGTAAAATTATGTTAACTGCCTTAATGAGCATGGTTTTTTTATGTAAGAATGGATAATTGTACTATCTGCTGGGCTTAAGATATGAGTGTATTACTGCATTTTATAGAACTTGATCTCGTGTACAAGGTGCTGCACAAGTTGGCTTTCTGAGTCTTGCGTTTATTTCTGTCAACTCCTTTTATTAAAGTCATCTCAGTTGCCCCACCTAAATTGGAAATGTATATAGAACAGCATCCTTTAGAAATCTAGAATCCAATTAAAAAATAAATAAATAAAAAGGAATCTGGTGTCCAGTAGTGAATTTAATGTCTTTCTGCTTCAGGAGATGGGTCTGAATCTACAGTGGCTGTATTCTGCTCGTGGAGACTTTTTCCGAGCTACTTCCAGACTAACAACAGATTATAAGAACGCTGAGAGAAAGAACCAATTTGTCATGAGGGAAATCAATAACCGTATCATGAACGTAAGTAGAAAAGGAAGAACTATAAACATGTGTTAATTTTTAATTGGTAAATCTCACATTTCTAAAATGTAGAGTAGGGAGGCCTCCCTGGTAGCGCAAGGGGTTGACTCTCAGCACTGTGAAGCTACCCCCAGCCACGGCAGCCAGGGAGCTGACCCACATGGCACAGCAGACCTCTCCTGTCTTGCCTGCTGCTCCCTTTGCAGTGTACTTCAGTAGATCTGCCTGTTCTGCTCCTTAACTCTGTCTCTGGTGAATCTTCTCATCCCCACATCTCTGGCTTGTTCCCCAGCTCTTGTATGCATAAATACATGAATCTTTTTTAAAAAATAAATAAAATGTAGAGTAATAACTGTGGGAGCCTAGAACCCCCAGTTTCTTTTATAATAGAGCAGATTTTTTTATTCATCTTTATTAGCATGATCTAACACCAGCATATTAAAACTGGAATCACAAGAAACATTTGATCCAACATTAAATTTTTTGGGCTTTAAAAACATTTTTAAGAAGAGATCAATAATGATTTTTAGCTGTTGTTTTCTTTGGGATTCATTTCTAATGAATAGTATATCTTCTGAATAAATAATATAATGTCTAATTTAACATGTAGCTATTTTTTTCTAATTGGCTAGGAAGATTTTATTACAGTGGAAACTTGTAAGCCTTCCCTATATACCTTTCAGCCAAAAGCAATCTAATTACAACTAGAGTTCATTTTTATAAAGAAGTTTTTAATTTGCTGTACAATTTTGATGTTAGAAGGCTAGTAGCCTAGCCTTTTTTTTTTTTTTTAAAGATTTACATATTTATGCATACAGAACTGGGGTACAAGCCAGAGGTGCAGGGCCAGTGAGAGGCCTCACCAGACAGAGTGGAGAGCAGAACAGGCAGATCAACAAAGTATACTGCTGAGGGGAGCAGCGGGTGGGTCAGGAGAGGTCTGCCACACCATGTGGTCACCTCCCGGGTAAGGAATCTAACCTGTGCTGAGGTGGCTGTGGCTAGCTTCATAGGCTGTGCCTTAACCCCTTGCGTCACCAGGGAGGGTCCATAGTAACCTAGTTTTTAACATTGTTAAATTCAGGGAAGTTTTAACATTTAAAATGAGAAAATGTTTGTTGTTTGTTTTATTATTTACTACATCAGGTCCTTTCCTACAACAGAAGTTTGTAGCAACTGTGTAAGCTCCCTTGTATGTTTTGTTTTCATAGGTGGAATATCACTTCCTCTCACCCTATGTGTCTCCAAGAGATTCTCCTTTCCGACATATCTTCTGGGGCTCTGGCTCTCACACTCTGTCAGCTTTACTAGAGAACTTGAAGCTACGACAGAAAAAGGACAGTGCTTTTAATGAAACACTATTGAGAAATCAGTTGGCTCTAGCAACTTGGACTATTCAGGGAGCTGCAAATGCCCTTTCTGGTGACATTTGGGACATTGATAATGAATTTTAAATGTGATATCCTTAACTTGTATAAGAATGGCAGGTAGTGTCATTGCTAGACTTATACTGGTTGTGCTAAATTTTCAGTAAGGCAACAAAAACTAATATTGTTAAAATTCTACCCAGTCATCTTGGTACTACTAGGTGTCTTTAGGCAGCAGCTCTTAGTACAGGGTAGGCACCTGCACTTCGAGTTAAAGTGAATAACCACTTAAAGATGTTCTGATAGAATATTTTCTCAGATTACCTTTAGAATTTTCAGTGCTTTGTTATGGTAACTGCCTCTTTCCTGTTACAGTTATGAAAAAATCAAACTAGTTAATGGAAACTGATATAAATCCTAAGAATGTATTGGCATGAGTGAGAGGAGGAATGTAATGTCTGTGGAAGGATAAAAGTAGTAGCTTAGTGTGAGCCTCCATTTTCATTTGATGCTAGAGTGGAGAAACCGGGTCATAAGAACTTGTTCTCCAAATGAGATGTATGCCTTTCTTTCAGGGTTTATTTGGTTTCCACATCCCTGAGTGAAACAGTTAACTTAGAGGATAGGGGACTTGTACTCTTACCAATGAGGTCTGAAATAGAGGTTCCTTAAGTTGGATAAAATGAGGTTCAACTGTTTAAATTGCAGGAGTAAGGCCTTAAATGGGTTAACCTCAAGGGTAATTATGAAAAGAGGAGACCAGAAGCCAAAGACTTAGTATTTTTTCTTTTTCTCTGTCCCTTGCTCCATAGGCAGGCACTTAGTTTTTTGTCGTTTTTATTTTTTTCCAAAGTTGTTTTAAAAATAAGTTTTGGGTGTTTATTTTCAAGCTCAGTTTGTCAGACTTTAAAGAACACACTGCCGAATTTTGGCCAAAGTGTTAATTTTTTGGAAACGCTTTCTGTCATTTTGGCACTGAGATATTTATTGTTTATTTATCAGTGACAGAGTTCACTATAAATGGTGTGTTTTTTTTTATAGAAGATAATTATCGGAAGCAGTGCCTTCCATAATTATGACAGTTATACTGTCGTTTTTTTTTTTAATAAAAGCAGCATCTGCTAATAAAACCCAACAGATACTGGAAGTTTTGCATTTATGGCCAACACTTGAAGGTATTTGAAAACATCCACAAGCCAAATAAAATTATAAAGCTAAGTATTGGAGAAGAATTTAAGGGTTTCTAATCAAATTACATGTGTGTTTAGCCAATCAAAAAAAAATAGCAGTTCTCCTAAGTACAGTGAATTGTGACTAAGTTTTAACACTCATGTCACTTAAAGGCTGAGACAGTACTTGTGCACCTAAAATGTAACTTTTAATTCGAATTTTGCAAAATTTCCAGTACCTTTGTCACAAACCTAACTCACATTATCGGGAGCAGTGTCTTCCATAATGAATAAAGAACAAGGTAGTTTTTGCCTACCACAGTGTCTATATCGGAGACAGTGATCTCCATATGTTACACTAAGGGTGTACATAATTATCGGGAACAGTGTTTCCCATAATTTTCTTCATGCAATGACATCTTCAAAGCTTGAAGATCGTTAGTATCTAACATGTATTCCCAGCTCCCTCTAATTCTTTTAGTTTTAGTTGCAGAAATGTTTTGTTGTCATTAAGCCTTTGGTGGGTAAACTCAACCACTGTAAAATAAAATTCCTTCAAAGACTCTTTGTTTTTAAACCTACTGTGGGTGTTTTCTTAAATTTTTGGTTTTCTCTAGGTCTTCTGTTTAGTGGGATGGTAGCATACATTTATAATGTTTGCTGTTGACAAATGAATTTAACTTTATCCCTTTATTTGCATGTTATTGCCTATAAACTTAGTTCATACAAGTTTGAATTCAGCATTGACCTCTTGGCTTAAAGCAGGGGAAAACTGTATAGGACGTGGCGGGGGGGAGGTTGTGGGGAGGCAAACCTTACAAAATGATCTTTAATCTTGTCTACTTACCCATTATTATATGGTGGTCATGAGTTAAATGTAGATGTGAGCAAATACGTTTGAGGCTACAAGACTTTATTTTCTAGCTAAACATCATTATAAATCTGAGAATCAGCTGTTTGTTACAGGGGACTTTGATACTGCCATCTAGGAAAACGTCCATAGGTTCTCTTAAGGTTCTTAAGCTTAGTGTCACTTAATCCTAACTTAAAATAGACTAGATTATTACAGCCTCACTGTTTTACTAGTCACAGTGGATTTGCTCTTCACAGTATTTTATCTTGAACTGATATATAGTATAAGTAAAAAGGTCATAGCTGGAATTCTTTGTTTGGGTGTCAGGCTTTATTATACTTCAGTGAAAGTTCAGTGACTTCAAGGCATAATATGAATAGTGGGCATACACTTTTATACCACAGTAAATCTCTTCCCCCCAAAAACCCTTCTAGATGAAATGTATATCTGAATAGTGACAACATACTAGTCTTCAGATTTTTTTCTGGTTGTATGATATCGTGTGTATTTGAAGGTAAAGGATAAAATGAGTGACCTCTGTCATGATTTACTGCTGTAGAACTTGCATGATAATTACTTATTTTGCCTTTAAATTTTAGTTGGATGTAAATGGATTATTAGATTTGCCAACCCACTGTTCAGCTATATCTCTGTAAACAAGTGATATGCCCTATAATTATATACAAGCCAGTATTTGCAACAATGTGGAGATTTCTTATCTGAACTAATAAAATGCTTGAACACTGAGTTGTCATTTGTTAAACAGATTTTTTTTTTTTAGAGCAGTTTTAGGTTCATAATAAGATTGAGCAGAAAATAGAGTTCACATATGCTGCCTGCCTGTACCCCTTTACCCCCAGCCTCCACCACTATCAACAATCCCACCAGAGTGGTACATCTGTAACAATCGCTGAGTCTACATTTAGGGTTCCTCCATGTCTTTTCATTGCTTGATAATTACATGCTCATATTGCTGAATAATATTCCATTGTCTGGATGTAACAGCTTATTTACCTATTCACTTACTGAAGGATGTCTGTTTCTTCCAAGTTTTTGCAGTTATGAATAAAGCTGCTATAAATATACCTGTATAGGTTTTTGTACAAATGTGTTTTCAGTTCATTTGGTTAGATACCAAGGAGTGTAGTTGCTGGATCATATTGGTAAGAGTTTCAATTTTTGTAAAAAGTTGCTGTCTTCTAAAATGGCTATTATTTTACATTCCCACCAACAATAAATGGGAATCTATTGCCCATATTCTTGTCAGTGTTTGGTGATATTAATGTTTTGAGTTTTGGCCATGCTAATAGGTGTGTATCGTGCACATTTTGAAGGTAAAGAGTATCAAGTGAACTTGGAATCTTATTTTAATTTGCATTTCCCTAATACCTGATGTTGAGCATCTTTTCTAAGCCTATTTACTGAGTGTACAGCAAGTCTTTGAACAACATCCTTTCAGTCAACAACCCTGGCTTAATTATTGCTTAAAGTTGCAATTTTCAAGAACCTGTCAACAATATTAAGTGAGGACTTACTGTGTATCTTTGGTGAGATATACAGTGTTAAGGTTTTTTTGCTCAGTTTTAAGTTGAGTAGTTTATTTTTTATTGCTGAGTTTTAAAATTCTTCATGTATTTTGGATAATAGTCCCATCAGATGTTTTGTAACACCCCCCCCACCCCAGTTTGTGGAATGTGAGAATGTGTTCTTAATCTCGTTACAGTGTCCTGCAGAGCAGAAATGTTTTATTTTAATGAAGGCCAACTTATCAATGATGTCCTTCACAAATCATTGCCTTTAGGGATATAGCTAACATGTTACCAACAACCGTATGGTGATCTAAATTTTCTCTTTTCTAGGCATTTTATGATTTTGCAATTTACATTTAGGTCTATGAATGAGTTAATTCTTATAAAGGGTGTATGGTCTGTCTAGGTTATTGTTTTGCATCTTGTCCAATTTGTCATTGTTTTTGTTAAGACCACTCTTTTTTTAAAAAAGATTTACTTATGCTTACAGAACTGGGATACAGGCCAGAAGTGTGGTAGGTGAGAGGATTCACCAGAGACAGAGTGGGGAGCAGAACAGGCAGATAGACAAAGTACACTGCCGAGGGGGGCAGTGGGTGGGTCAGGAGAGGTCTGCCAGCCATGTGGTCACCTCCTTGGCCTGGGATGGAACTTGTGCTGTAGTGGCTTAGGAGGGAGAGCTTCATAATGTGGTGCTATAACCTGTTGTGCCACCAGGGAGAGCCCAAGACTACTCTAAGCAGGGCTATCCAAAAAGTAAAAATGAGTGTTAACCTATGTAGCTTTATTTTTACATCATATCCAAAAGGTTTGTATGTTAAAAAGGAAAGGAGGGCCCACCCTGGTGGCGAAACTGGTTAAAGCACAGTACAAAGCTAGCAGCAGCTGCTTCACTCGAGTTCAATCCCTGGCAGACCTCTGCTGACCCACCTGCTGCTAACTTCAGCAGTGTACTTTGTCAGTCTGCTCCCAACTCTGGTGACTCCTTTCACTGTCCTTGCACTTCTGGCCTGTACCCCATTTTCTGCATACATAAATAAATAAATGTTTTTTTAAAAAGGAAAGAAAACTATGCTTGCATAGATAAGTGCACAGGAAGAGCTGCATTTGGAAGGGACAGATTTGTTAAGAGAAATTCCCTCATAGATACAACTGGGCGGTCTGGGGAGGAGAACTGCCTAACTGTAATTCTAAATGTTCTTGTGGTCACAATAAAAGAACTTAAAAAGCCAGTGAAATCTGTAGTCTATTTTAACTCAGTATATTCAAAATAACATTTAACATGTTCATGTTAAAATGATCACTTAGATGTTTTATAATTCTATTTGCATATGAAGTTTTAAACCCCTTGTGCTTTCCAGCAGATCCCAATTAGGCTATTCACATTTCCAGATTCTCAAGGTTAGTTTACACTGTTGTGTTTGCTGTATATCTTAAAAGCACAACTGACGAGTCAATTGGTAAGAGTCGTCTTACAGACTTTATACTATGTAGTTACCAAAAGAGCCATTACACAGTTTAATTTCACTGCTACAAATCCTAGCCAGGACTCTTCAGTGTATTTCCAGGAATTGCAACCTCTAGAATTGGGAAGGCTTTTGGTTGTCTCACTGTATCCTGTTTTTTTCCCGTCAGAATTAGCTACCACCTTTGAGAGGCAAAACAAGTATTATTAAAACCACAGGGAAAAGGCACCTATTCGCAAGGTGACAGGCCAGGAGGACGCCTTTATGTTTGAAAGCGTAACTAGTATCGTCCTTGAGGATACTGATGAATTTGCTGCTTAGGCACTTGAGTTAGTCTTTGCGATTTGCCACAACTGCTCTTTAAACTATCAAATGCTTAACCCATTCCAAATGGGCTCTTGACCTAGTCCTTAATGCCTATTTTGAAACCAAAAATAGTCAAAGGGCGGAGTTAGGTTTTGAAAAATAAGGCTTTCCCACTTCTGGGAATATTTCTCCCAGAACCAAGTTCATGTATATACTTTCAAAGTAGTCTGCATGAGTGACGGAAACCTTCATGCAAGCACACATGTGGTTTCTGATGATGTCAGTCTCTATAACCTCTACCTCCACTGCTTGGATGATGGATTCTGGACACAGTGGGGGAAAGACAGGGAGAAAGCACCTGAGGCGCTGACGTAAACAAAAACAGATTGTGAAAGGAAGTAAAATTTGAAGTGACCTTTTTAAAAACATGATTTATGTATTTTTACATGATTGTTCATTTTTGCACAATGTTTGCTTCCTTATGAAGTCCCCATAGAATTCCACCCCCAATTCACCTGTGCACCCTCTCCATGGTCTCTTGTGCTCTTCCGCCTGCCCTCATTTTGATCCCTTTTCTACTTCCTCCCTGCAGAATATCTGATTTATAGCTGTCTGTTTATTTTTTGTTTTTACCTAGATACTCCCTACTCCTCCTATAAATGAAGCCGTCTGGTATTTTTTTTCCTTCTGACTTACTTCACAGAGAATGATCCCTTCTAGCTCCACCCATGTTACTGTGAATGGCATTAGTTTATCTCTTGACTGCTGAATAGTATTCCATTGTGTATATATACCACATCTTCTTGATCCAGTCTTCTATTTTTGAGCATTTGGATTGATTCTACATCTTCCCTATTATGAATAGTGCTGCAATAAACAGACACAGAATTATTAATACAAATGAAGTTACCTTAAAAAAAAAGTGAGACATGGGGATTACAACTGAAATGGGAAAAGGCACAAAATGATGCAAAAATAAACTATTATTTAAAAAAAAAAAGTGAGACAGTTGGCAAGAGCAACAACAACAAAAAAACCCAACATGTTCAAGGCCCATCATGCCAATTGTTTCATTCTTGCCATACTAATATTCTAACTAAGAGACTGACAGTGGGTTCAAAAACAAAAAAACACTATGACCTTTAAAGACATGAATTTAAAACCAAAAGATGCAAAAAACAAGAGCATGCTGGTTAGCTTACAGTAACCACTAAATGTTTACAAGGTAATTACCACAGGTAAAAATAGAAACATTTCTGATGACAAAGGGGACAATCCACCAGGAAGATAATGTTCAACAAACTAGTCATCACGGAAGTGCGTATCAAAATCATAAGATCAACTTAAAATGGTCAGAATGACTTATCAAACAGACAAAGAGAAAAAATGTTGGTGAGGACGAGAAGAAAAGTGAACCCTTGTGGACATATAAATTGGTATAGCCACTTTGGAAAGCAGTATGGTGGTTCCTCAAAAAATTGAAAAATAGATACACCCACCCCATATATTCCAGGAATCTGCAGAATGGGGAGAGGGTGTGGGCACAAACACTCAGGCCCTAGCAAACGTTATCCATTAACTTTGTATTATGGAAAATAAGATTTTAGCTCTTCCACCAACAACCCTGTGCATGCACACACATACGCATTTCTGATGCTTCCCGTAGTCATTAACTTTTATATGTACATTCTCAAATGAATCATACAATGAATTCTAACTCTAATTAACCCAGCAGAACTGACTGGAAACTGGAAAATTAGAATAAAATTGGATTCTAACTGGAATTTCTGCATCCGAATAAAATCCATATGAATCAAATATTCAAATTTTTAAAATGAAGCCATAAATTTTCTAGAAGAAAATACAAATTAGTCTTGGGGAAGGAAAGGCCTTCTGAGGCATGATCGGAAAACCTTGATGCTATGTGCAAACAGACTGATAAACCAATTTCAATGTATAGTTAAACAAAATATAGTTATGTGGCAAAAAATAGCATAGGTCAAATCATAAGGTAACTTACAAACTAATAAAAAATATTTTTTCTTCACACAAGGGGCTTTCTTACTCCTAGCAAAATTCTGTAATACCTTTTTGATGCAGCATTATCCCCACAGTCCCTTCCTTTTTCTGAATTTGCTGCTCTGCTCCCTACTCCTCTCCCTATGGAAAATCTATTCAATGTAAATGCTCACACCAAGGACTAGTAACTCATTAACTCAAAGTGCATTTGACTATGACCCGTTGTCCACTAGTGTTTAAGAAAGCGTACATGTGGCGATTTTGTGCATGTTTGAAGGTAACAGTGACGCCCAACAGTCTAAGCTGTCCCTGAGCCATAACTCAGCCCCAGCTTTCCTTGGTAAATCCAGTTAGTCCCCTTGGCTAATCCCTTGAGGTGCTTGCTCAACATCCCCAAACAAGCATATAGAGAGTAGGATATATATAT